GTACAAAGCGACACCGAAAAAGAGAGGCCGAAGAGACACCACAATAAAGGCGGCAAATGAGACACCAAAACAAAGGGGCCCAGGAGACATAAAAAAATGGGCCGATGAGACACCAAAACGAAGGGCCGAGGAGACAGCAAAACAGAGTGGGCTGAGGTGACACCACAAAAGGGGCCAAGGAGACACTGTTGTCGCTTTTGTCAAATAAACACTGGATATGTATATAAACTCAACATCGTGACTTATAAAACAGTCAAATCCAAAATGTTAAAGATCACACGAGACAAGGATCAAAGCGGCCATGTAACATAGGTTTATTTGTTTGTTTGTGTATACGTCCTATTAACAGCTAGGGTCATTTAAGGACGTCCATGGTTTAGGCTGTGGAGGAACACCGGAGTACCTGGAAAAAAAACACCGACCTGCGACACGTTTAAGTACCTGGCGACTACACCACCTAGACCTCCAACTCGCGACCCATAGTATAGGTCTCTTACTGCCTTATGGATAAACTTGTGAAGCAACCTACTTTAAGGGGAGGAGGACCTGGTGGTCTCTTATTAGACAGAGTTTTTTTTTTATTAGGTGTTGTCTCTTAGACAGACTCAAACGTAGAGTCTCACTCGTTAATTGCGCTGTGATCAGAAAACAAAGATTACAGTATCTGAAATAGTCCCACTGGTCTTTGTATAAAAAATATTAATAAAGATATCTCATATTTTTTTTTTTTAGATTGTTTGAAAAAAACCAGTATTGGTTTGGCGGATTCACTCATCAGTGTCCTGTGTGCAGCGAATACGAGAAATCGTTCATCGCGTTATAAACAAGCAAATTATTTTTGCCCCATCCTGCTTGATATTGGAAGCGCATATGCTGTACAACATCATGTAATACAAATACAGAAGTCTTCTAGCGTGAGGGAAGCGCCAGTAACTACCTGCTGGTGGTTTTCCATCTGGACTCGGATACCTGATGGCTATGGTCATCGATTATTACACAGATTCCCGCCCCAGCCAGGTAATATCCGGATCAGATGGCGCGAGCGATGGCGTCGTTCCCGTTGAGGCGGGCCGGTCTTGTATACATCATATCTATTGATTCAAGAGTTTTACCTGTCATGCTCCGCACATATATATGGCCTCCGAGAGCGCCGGTGCAAATGGAACATGAGATTTTAAAAAATGTGCAATTAATGAATTATTTTTTTATTGAACAAAGAACTGTGTCTCATTGTCTTTGATCGTAGATCGTGTTACGACTTCTACTGTGTTGATAGAAACGTTCATCAATGCTTGAGGCGACCCAGAAGAAGCGGACATACTGCAACAATGATGTAGTACACAGGTACGTCTAGATCAACAGCTACTTCAACCAAAGGGAGCAGACGTGTTCTAGGAACACCGCAGCATAAATTACACTAATACAGTTTCGGATTGATTGCTTCTGCTCATTTGTCCCCATCTTTGCTTAAAAGACAAAGTTACATGCTATTATTTAGGTGTGGCCTTATAATTTCATTCGTCATCCATTACAATGTACAGAACTCGCATTTTATAAAGGTATATCATGAAACTTGATTTATAGTTTATATTTTATCTATCAAATAGTTTAACTGATTTTCAACTCGTGTGATGAATCTTTTCCAATATGTTATAAAGATGAGATATAATAGTAAAGAATTAACCCTATTTCATGAAAGCAATGTCTTATCGTTTATTAGCACTCAGAAACGAAAGAGATCGGACAAAAGCTATGCAACTGTTTGTTTTAAAAGCCTAGACAACCTGATTCTGAAGCTTATACAAATTCTTTTCAATGGTTTTTTGTTGTTTGAAATGTCCAAACCGTTAAATCTAGCCTAATTGAAATGTCACATCCCAGACAAAGCGTATGAATTCTTCCAGTCAAATCTCAGTTGTGAGTGAAAAGTTATCTAAAAGACACGTGACGTCTCACTGCTTACATTAACATTTGATTCCTTCGGGAAATGTCAAATAAAAGGCGAAGACTTTGAATCTTAACAGTAAATCTTATTCTACTAAGGTTTATGTCAGTATCAATCGATACACGAGTAAGAAGATTTCCCTACAAACCAATGTTACGTAACATGGAGGGATTTGAACAGCTCTGCTCGGCCAATATCTTTCTCCTTTGTGTTCATATCTGTTTTTAAAATAGATTTATTTCCCGTAGGAAACGTTGTTTTTCGAGACGAATTAATAACGAAAATGTCTCGGTGGCGACTCCATATTGAGCCATCGTCTGCTTCCCTCCAGATTTACCGGGCACAACATGTTCAGGGCTGGAGTAATAAAAGAGGAAGTGAGTATAAAGTACGGAACAAGGAGGTAATTGCAAAAGTGCAGACAATATAATGCTGTCGAATTTTCGGAGCGCTGCGCTCCTATGTCGAGACACATTAATAGGGAAAAAAAGAACGAAACAGTTACAATACATCCGTACAGAATTGAAAATAGATAAAATAAACTAGGCGAGGGTTCTATTGTTTTTAAATATCAGTATATATTATTTCATTTTATTTAAGTTTTGTTAAGTTCTCGTGCTTAGCTTATGTTATCACCACAAAACCTCACTTTTGCTCTCTTAGTACAGACCGGAAGTGGGCGTAACCCCAGGTCCCGTTATCATGAAACCATTCTCATGCTCAAGCCAGGATTCTGTGCTCAAACAAACTTTCTTGCAACTCGCTTCGATCATGCCAAACGATACGAAAAGTCAAATGTAAACAGTGAAAACAGTATTTGGCTTCAAGTCTCTTCAAATTGTTTCCGAATCATTGACGAAATAAGTTTTATTTATTAAGTTATAGCATGAACAGGAAATTAAAGCTTGAGCACAAAGTCCCTACGCCTGAGCATGCGCACGGTTCATGGATACCGGCCCTGGTATCGAGGATGTACTTAGCCAAGGCGTTGTAGCTGGACGTGATTCTTGTATTGTTTACAGAAGATAACAGTTCAAACAAAACGTATCTGCTGTAGCCAACAGTTGTAGATGCGTAACGTTAAACATTGTTGTATGGTATCTTACTTGTTCCACTGTATTCTACATACTTCGGAACATTATAGACATTGATTTTTCGTTCTGTTAACCTTTAGCTCCCCTGTTGAGTCCTAAAAGACTATCATCTCTCTCAAAGCAAGTTGCCCTACAGGGATATTAAAAATGATGGCACTCGGAGATACACCCATATGACATTATAATGCAATAAAGTGTTACTTTGCTTGGTTTTCAATCAAATTATTAAAAAAAAAGTGTTTCATTTCTTCTTATTTATAACGATTATAACACACTATACTGTATATGATCTAACAACACCTCATCAGTGCTAATATTCTGGTGATGTTTCATTTAATACCCCGATGTTTATAATATTTTGTAAGTATTTTCAAAAAAACGAGAATTGTTAGGCCCTGATACAGATTGTCAGGAATAGAAATACAGAGGGCATGGTCCTGATGCTGGGAAGCGTAGTGTATTATGAGAGAATCGATTTAAGGATCCCCGTACTACTGCCCAAATATGAAAACATGTATTGGAATCATTTTTGAAAAGATAAATTTACTTTGCGGGATTTTTATGATAGCCTAATGAGATTAAATAAACAGAATATAATCAACATACGTGTTCTGAGTGTAAAATATTCTGCGGGGCCAGACCGGGGTTCGAACCCTGGACTTCAGTTTGTTAAACAATTGCTTCAAGCGATTGAGCTGCCTGGTTAACGAAAGTGTACAAGCCCAAACGTGCGACAGCAATATCCGAACGGGAGTTAAGGGGAGGTAACTGTGTACAGGAAAAACGGCACTGGGACAGGGAGCCTTAAATAAGATTGGTCTTGTGACATTGTTGTCTTTGAGAACAAATACATGAATAAATAAACAAATAAACAAACCTCGATTGCCAGCGTGAAATCTTTCTCCTCTATGTACCCGTCTTTGTTGCTGTCTGTAAAAAGAAACAGTTGCTCATGAAATATTAGGAAATATTGCTGACAAGTGTGAAATTCTTTAAGAATGAAACCAAGAAATAAAGAATAAGACTAAATTTGTTTAGATCACAAACAGGAATTGAAAACTTATTTTTGTGATCTTTCGAAAACGTCTGTTTCCTTTATCAAGCAAAGAGTGTAAATGACCGGTGTTTCGACCATAAACCGCCGAAAAAAACACTCTAAGCCACAGTGGGCCGAATCAGTAAAGTCAGCTGTCAAAAATCATAGAGACATTTCACCCAATTAGACTCTAATACTGCAGAAAGTTAGGGAGATGGGTAACATATTTACCCATTCCGCCCCTTATTAAATAAGTTTTCAATTCCTGCTTGTGCTCAAAACAAACTTAATATTTATACCAAATTGATGAATCTTATTCCGATTATAAGAAATTAACATCTTGAAGGTGTTGCCTGTTGCTTACTCGTTGTCGTAGACAACGATGCCAAGATGCTCATGGGAAAAAAATGGCTGTGCTATCAATGTCGCTTTTCCAACAGGCGTGTTTCCATGCGTATACGAATATCTAAATACTTATTAAAATTATTTAAAAGGTGCAAACATTATTTTCTGTACATGGAATGAAAATATATTATTTTGTGTTGGAGTGTATTTGTTTTGCAGTACAAACATAGAAAAACAAAGTTAGACCCCCAAATCTAAGTTGTACTCAATAAAATAAAAGGATTCCAGAAATACATGTAGCCACAAAATGAATCGCCGGAGGCTTCCTGACAGGTTTTTACTTACACACAAAATAGTTGTTAATGTGGAAAGGAGATAAAGGTTTTCTAGCTGAAACGGATGAAAACAAATATCTAATTTTTTCTTTAATTTTGACATACTCATATAGGGATTTTGCGTTATGTAAATATAGTGTATTCCATTCTTTTCTCGTTCATTTCAATAGGTGATTCCATTGTTTAACTGTATATGACTGAAATTGATTCTTCATGCCAGGAATCGTTTTTATCTTGCTGTGTATCACCATTACACGAAACCGTCAGCCATTTATATGCAACTATTTGCAAAATTAGTTAACAAATGAATATCAATAATCCTATCATTACTTTCAATTAAAAAAAGGTCAAGACAATATACCCACTCAACAGAAATTTGACAGTCCCCGACAGCTGTAGCAACCTTAATTAAAATGTGTCCAAAAGAATTGTTTCAGAAAAGATATGACGTAATAGCAAACATTTTATACATTGTCAACATAAATTCCCAAATTATACAAAGGTCATGTTTCAATCAAGTTTCATTTAACAAAGCCTTCATGAAAAAAACCTTTTTGAAATTTTCCCTTGTTGCAGACAATTTTAAAAATTGCATCAATATATGGTATTGTGGTATATCCTCGTAGCGTGCGATTATTACAGTGTACGGTTTTTGCATAATTATTAAAACGGTGCTTTCCTAACTCCCTCACCAGTGGGAAAAAAATGTTTTGGTAAATTCTTTCTTCTACCAAAATTTCCCAAAGTCGATATATTGATTTAAAGTGCAAATTACATACTTTTCCTGTTCAATTTAGTAAAAATAGGATATATCAATAGTAAATATGGGATCAAGTTTAGAAGAGAAAAGTGAAAATTACGAAAAAAAAAGACAATCGTCTGAAACTTTGTTTTACTCATTTCGAACATGACAATCTTAAACCGGAATTCCATGGGCACGTTGGTGTTTAAATTGATCTTTTGTTTTAGCAACGGGATGAGGTAAACGTTATACAACTTATAAAAAGCTTGTTCGGTATAGAGAGGTCACAATGTATAACGACAGATGACGATACATGGAATCTATAGAACCCTGTTTAAACTGTAACCTGTCTATAACGTTCAAATTGGTGTCCATTTTTGTTCGGTATAGAGAGGTCACACTGTTTAAATGACAAATGTCGATACACGGATTCTATAAAAACCTGTTAACACTGTAACCTGACTAGAGCATACATAAATATCTTGGTCTCTCAGTTGTTCGGTATAGAGAGGTCAAGCTGTATATAAGCAACAAATCACGATACTCGGGAGCTATAGGAATCTGTATATACTGAAACCTGATTATAACGGACACATAAGTGTTTTGGTTTACCGTTGTAGACAGGCCCCACACAAAAGCTCCATGTAGATGGCTTTACATGCCAATCTAGAGAGGTCAAGACAATTTGATTGAATTATCTTAATTACAATCTATGAAAAGCTTTAAAAAAATTGTAGAAACAAAAAAGGATTTCCATTTTAAAATGATTTTCAAGAGAGAGAGAGAGAGAGAGAGAGAGAGAAAAAACGACCAAAATGTATGGCGTTTATAGACAGCGTTAGCGATTGCTTGGCCGGCATCGTTAGTCTATGACACCCTGGGAACTTGTCAGACGCGTGGCAGTTCACCTTACCGTATTAATGCACCAATTACCGTCACTGGTCCAATAAACGTATCATTACGGTAACATCCTCATTGACACAATTACGGTATCACTGAATCTTAACGCTAGACACCCGAACTAACACAACTACTGTGTTTTCACGCTAAACGCCATAATAACAATTACCGTAACAGTGCGCTAAACACCATAGCCAACACAATAACCGCATCTTTACGCTAGACACTCTCACTGACACAATTACGGTATATATACGCTAAAAACCTTAGCATAATTACCGTATCAGTGTGCTAAACACCCTTACTAACACAATTACCATACCATTACGTTATTGACTCTTGCTGACCTATTGCTGTGATACGCTCTTGGCTTGCTGACCAACTGCTGTGATACGCCCCTGACTCTTGCTGACCTACTGCTGTGATACGCTCTTGACTTGCTGACCTACAACTGTGGTACGCTCTTGACTTGCTGACCTACTGCTGTGATACGCTCTTGACTCTTGCTGACCTACTGCTGTGATACGCTATTGACTTGCTGACCTACTGCTGTGATTAGCTCTTGACTCTTGCTGACCTACTGCTGTGATACGCTCTTGACTTTCTGACCTACTGCTGTGATACGCTCTTGACTTGATGACCTACTGCTGTGATACGCTCTTGACTTGCTAACCTACTGCTGTGATTAGCTCTTGACTCTTGCTGACCTACTGCTGTGATTAGCTCTTGACTCTTGCTGACCTACTGCTGTGATTAGCTCTTGCCTCTTGCTGACCTACTGCTGTGATACGCTATTGACTCTTGCTGGCCTACTGTTGTGATACGCTCTTGACTTGCTGACCTACTGCTGTGTGATACGCTCTTGACTTGCTGTCCAACTGCTGTGATACGCTCTTGACTCTTGCTGACCAACTGCTGTGATACGCTTTTGACTCTTGCTGACCAACTGCTGTGATACGATATTGACTCTTGCTGAGCAACTGCTGTGATACGCTTTTGACTCTTGCTGACTAACTGCTGTGATACGATTTTGACTCTTGCTGACCAACTGCTGTGATACGCTTTTGACCGTTGCTGACCTACTGATGTGATACGCTCTTGACTTGCTGACCTACTGCTGTGATACTCTCTTGACTTGCTGACCAACTGCTGTGATACGCAATGACTCTTGCTGACCTACTGCTGTCATACGCTCTAGTCTCTTGCTGACCTACTGCTGTGATACGCTCTAGACTCTTGCTGACCTACTGCTGTGATACGCTTTTGACTCCTGCTGACCTACTGCTGTGATACGCTATTGACTCTTGCTGACCAACTGATGTGAAACATTCTTGCCGACCTACTGCTGTGATACGCTATTGACTCTTGCTGGCCAACTGCTGTGATACGCTATTGACTCTTGCTGACCAACTGATGTGATACATTCTTGCCGACCTACTGCTGTGATACGCTATTGACTCTTGCTGACCGACTGCCGTGATTAGCTCTTGACTCTTGCTGACCTACTGCTGTGATACGCTCTTGCCTCTTGCTGACCTACTGCTGTGATACGCTCTAGTCTCTTGCTGACCTACTGATGTGACACGCTCTTGACTTGCTGACCTACTGCTGTGATACGCTATGACTCTTGCTGACCTACTGCTATGATACGCTATGACTCTTGCTGACCTACTGATGTTATACGCTCTTGACTTGCTGACCTACTTCTGTGATACGCTATGACTCTTGCTGACCTACTGCTGTGATACGCTATGATTCTTGCTGACCTACTGCTGTGATACGCTCTTGACGTGCTGACCAACTGCTGTGATACGCTCTTGACTTGCTGACCTCCTGCTGTGTGATACGCTCTTGACTTGCTGTCCAACTGCTGTGATACGCTCTTGCCTCTTGCTGACCTACTGCTGTGATACGCTCTTGATTTGCTGACCTACAGCTGTGATACGCTTTTTACTCTTGCTGACCAACTGCTGTAATACGCTATTGACTCTTGCTGACCTACAGCTGTGATACGCTCTTTACTCTTGCTGACCAACTGCTGTTATACGCTATTGACTCTTGCTGACCTACTGCTGTTATACGCTCTTGACTTGCTGACCAACTGCTGTAATACGCTCTTGACTTGCTGACCTACTGCTGTGAGATACGCTCTTGACTTGCTGTCCAACTGCTGTTATACGCTCTTGACTCTTGCTGACCAACTGCTGTGATACGATATTGACTCTTGCTGACCAACTGCTGTGATACGATTTTGACTCTTGCTGACCAAATGCTGTGATACGCTTTTGACTCTTGCTGACCTACTGCTATGATACGCTATGACTCTTGCTGACCTACTGATGTTATACGCTCTTGACTTGCTGACCTACTTCTGTGATACGCTATGACTCTTGCTGACCTACTGCTGTGATACGCTTTTGACTCCTGCTGACCTACTGCTGTGATACGCTATTGACTCTTGCTGACCTGCTGCTGTGATACGCTCTTGACTTGCTGACCAACTGCTGTAATACGCTCTTGACTTGCTGACCTACTGCTGTGAGATACGCTCTTGACTTGCTGTCCAACTGCTGTGATACGCTCTTGCCTCTTGCTGACCTACTGCTGTGATACGCTCTAGTCTCTTGCTGACCTACTGATGTGACACGCTCTTGACTTGCTGACCTACTGCTGTGATACGCTCTTGCCTCTTGCTGACCTACTGCTGTGATACGCTCTTGACTCCTGCTGACCAACTCCTGTGATACGCTATTGACTCTTGCTGACCTACTGTTGTGATACGTTCTTGACTTGCTGACCAACTGCTGTGATACGCAATGACTCTTGCTGACCTACTGCTGTGATACGCTATTGACTCTTGCTGACCACTGCTGTGATTAGCTCTTGAATCTTGCTGACCTACTGCTGTGATACGCTATTGACTCTTGCTGGCCAACTGCTGTGATACGCTATTGACTCTTGCTGACCTACTGTTGTGATACGTTCTTGACTTGCTGACCAACTGCTGTGATACGATCTTGACTTGCTGACCTACTGCTGTGATTAGCTCTTGACTCTTGATGTCCAACTGCTGTGATACGCTCTTGACTCTTGATGAACAACTGCTGTGATACGCTTTTGACTCTTGCTGACTAACTGCTGTGATACGATTTTGACTCTTGCTGACCAACTGCTGTGATACGCTATTGACTCTTGCTGACCAACTGATGTGATACATTCTTGCCGACCTACTGCTGTGATACGCTATTGACTCTTGCTGACCTACTGCTGTGATACGCTCTTGACTTGTTGACCAACTGCTGTGATACGCTCTTGATTTGCTGACCTACAGCTGTGATACGCTCTTGAGTCTTGCTGACCAACTGCTGTAATACGCTATTGACTCTTGCTGACCAACTGATGTGAAACATTCTTGCCGACCTACTGCTGTGATACGCTATGACTCTTGCTGACCAACTGCTGTGATGCGCTTTTGACTTGCTGACCTACTGCTGTGTTACGCTCTAGACTTGCTGACCAACTGCTGTGATACGCTCTTGATTTGCTGACCTACAGCTGTGATACGCTCTTGACTCTTGCTGACCTACTGCTGTGATAAGCTCTTGACTCTTGCTGACCTACTGCTGTAATACGCTCTTGACTTTTGCTGACCTACTGCTGTGATACGCTCTTGACTCTTGCTGACCTACTGCTGTAATACGCTCTTGACTTTTGCTGACCTACTGCTGTGATACGCTCTTGACTTGCTGACCAACTGCTGTGATACGCTCTTGACTCTTGATGACCTACTGCTGTGATACGCTCTTGACTCTTGCTGACCTAGTGCTGTGAGCCGCTCTTTTTTAAAAAACTCACTTACCGTATAATATGTTAAACACTCGCAGGATTTTGGCTTTCTGGAACTTAGTGAGCTCTGAGTCGGCCATCTTGAATTAATCTATAACAAAAGTAAAAAAAAACAATTGTTATCGAAATGGATACAGTACATGCATGTAACATTTTAATTAGATACATTTCCTTATTATAGGGTTATTTTCACAAACGTTCAACATATGAAGGTATTACAGGAAAGGAAAAATGCACGGCCAGACCGGGGTTCGAACCCGGGACCTTTCGATCTCTAGACGGACGCTCTGCCAATTGAACTACCTGGTCGCCGACGATCGACCCAGCCCAGTTCCTCTGCAAAGGAATAGTAGAATATAAGTTTCGCGTGATTGCAGCATGAAAAATAAAATCCAAGGAATTTTAGACAAATACAGTTCATAAATGATTTCACAAGGCCAAACAGAAGTCGGACTTTTGAAAGATACATAACAAAACAGCAAAACAACACAAAACACAAAAAAACTATTCATAACGCGAATAAGATTGTGAAAGGCTCTATTGCTGCGCCTGATGATCAAGGCCCTTTCCCGCAGGATTGTGACGTCACATTCATTGTGACGTGATAGATGCATATCTTGGATACGCTCAAGAAGTAGATTCCACACACACTTATTTGGTCTCACGTACAGTTATCAATTGCTCACGAAATTTATCATAAAAATCGCAGTCAACGTGTTCATGGAGATAAAAGGCTACAAGGTGGCGCCACTATGCGATACTGACGACATGGACGGATTAAGTCGACAAAGATGCCCAGAGGATCTCTTCCGAGCCAGGAGGGGATTCGAACAATGTAAATTGAACTTTCTGACCACTATGGTAGACAACTTGGATGGACAAACCGCGGGAAGTGGATTGTTTTATAAACGAATTGGCGATCAAGCAAAGGCCACCAAAACAGATAGAAACTTAGTTGTCAAGAAACGCCTAGAAATGGACCGGAACTGTCACGTCACGAAGAATAACCAAGAGGTATGATACGATAACAGTTGTCAATTTGTAAATATACTACTGACCTTACAATCTTTTACATTTTTTATTGTTATGAGATCAAATATATTTATGACAATGTACTGCTATTTAGCAGCATGCGTTTCAAATATTATAAATCCGTTAAGTAATTTAAAGTTTTAAGTTAGATAAAAAAAATCTTTTGTATTTTGTATAACTACGTGTATAAGACTGTCATTTTTCATTTATTTTTGTATAAAGATAAGACTTATATATTTTGCAACAATTATGAAACGTGTTTTCTCAACTTAAATTAATCACTCTTGTTGGCCCCGCCGAGAACATATAGAGGTTGTTAATGTGGGAGGAAACCAAACTCACGCGGTTGGGCAGGGGACAAAATGTCATTTAACAAACAGATCGAGGAATCGAACCCCGGCCGTCTTGGTTAAAGGCGAGTACGAAATCCCCTGCGCAATCAGAGCCACCACCAACATCACTGTGTAAGCTGATTCAACACGTTCCCAAATGCAGGTTTTTATTTGACATTGATCAATGTCATCCAAAATTGAAATTGGGGTTTGTTATATTAATGAGAGTACATGTATAATCGGAGTAAATTTACTTCAACACCGCATAACCGGCAGTGGATTCCTCCGCTTTGAATTATCAAATAAAATATAACACTCTGTTCATTTAACGAGTCTCTCCGTGTAAAAAATGTATTAAACCAAATTTTGATATAAGGGTCCATTTTACGAAAACGAGTAAATCTTCCTTTTAACTACTGGACCGCGTGTATTTAACTCATTCACCCCTAAAATTTCATAATGAACTATTCCAAACTTTGAATAGGAAGAGTTCAAATGTGTCTCCAGGGGTGAATGAAATTAAGGATCTGGAAAGAAAATCATACGGTTCGGGACATTTATGAGAAATAATAAAGATGAAATAATGATAATAATTCGAGGTTCGTAGATACCGCTTTATCACAACCTAGGTCGTAGGTCGTCTCAAAGCTGTTCACAAATCATTATCCGTGGTTATAAGGCCTTTGCAACAAACTATAATCAGCGACAGTGTTTTGAGTGTGAAAGTTCAGCTTGGCTAGACTGAGATTCGAACCCCGGACCTCAGACTGTTGTACTATCGCTCTAACCTTTTGAGCTACCTGGTCAGCGGAAGTGTACTGCCCCAACTATTCTTCAGTTTAATTTGTCAACCGGTTTGGCTGAATGTGATCATCTCTCTCTCTATCACATTTTTTTCTCCGACTCTACCTCTTTTACTATCTTTTACTCCGTTTCTTTCTCCGTTTTTTCCTCTCCCTATTTTCTTTTCCATATAAAAATATCATTAATAGATATTGCGTAAATTGCCTTATCAAGTTATTGTTTATATTCATGAAATTGAAGAAAAGGACTGTGATAATGGGCGGATTGGTCGAGTGGTTAACACTCCGGCCTGCCACGCAGGCGGCCGGGGTTCGATCCCCGAAGACGCCGTACGCATGGAATATTAGAGAAAGTATTTTTCTCCTACCCACACAACTCAGGTGGAGTATAAAATAGTCTGGGGTGGGTGTTGCGGTATCTGTGCTGTAGCATTCAAGTGAGGTGACACTATAAATGATACCGTTGGAAGCACGGTCCCACTACAAACAGAACACAATACATCTCTAGTAGTTAGCGCCTGATAAGGCAGCTAATATGAATTCCTCAATATTATATTGATTAACATATATATGCTTATTGTATTGACTGTATAAAATTGTATATCTATGTACTGTTAAGCGCTTTAAAGTGGCTTATGTTAGCTAGATAGGGCGCTATATAAAATGTTGTATATTTATTTATTTTATAAGTTATGAAAACGCGTCCAATTCTTTTGTAAATATTTATTTGCAATAAAACATGTTTAAATCAAAACTGTTCTTTTGATATATCCAAACGGAAGTTAAGGGAAGGTTACTGAATACATATAAAATACACAGTCCAGTGGGATAAGAGTTTTTAAGGAATACGTATGTATTTTTGTTTTTGAAACACGGAATCAAACTATTATTATTAATCTTTATCGTTTATTTTAAACTGAAATGTTTAACAGTTTATTGAAACGCGTTTAGCTATGTATAGTTTTCTTTAAAAAGGATTGCAAAATATGATCGTTTCCGAAATATTTCCTTACAGAACGTAGCCTCAATCTGACGTCCATGACCTGACGGAGTACATGTACAGTAAGTGTTGTGTTATTTGATTGCGAACGCTTGACCGATACATTGACCAGTGACCAACCAAACTGTCCAATTGATTGACCAAACTTGACCATTGCACTGGACATTGATGAATGTCATTCCTTATATGACCCGACTATACCAAATTAATACGTCTGGCTCTCGCCAAGTCTCGTTAAGTACAGAGCAGAACCAGCACGTGTCAGCCACACGTGCACCGGGCCGACTAAACAAGAGTTCACGTAACGCATCCATTTAATGTTTTGAAAGAACGATGAGATACGCTATTTTTTCCTTCTTTTTTTTTTCTTTTCAAAAAAATAATTCAGGATCGCTAGGTTTATATTGATGATTGTAAATTGTATTTAATCTTCCTTTATCAGCATTTAGTGCAGGTGCATGTGAAAGAAATCGAAATCTCAATTAAACCACGGGTTCAATAAACTGTGTTTTGGATTTTTTCCTGATATTAACGGTCTGTTAACACGAACTGTTCACAAATGTGATCCCGTACAGTGTTAATAAGTCACGAAACGTGCAATAAAATCTGATTGTGTTAAATTACATGGGAAAGCAAAGAAACATTGAGATTTCGCCAGGTTTTTGATATAACGGAGCTGAAATACAAAGGTTTATCAATTAACAGCACACTGTCATGGAATCATAGAAGGACATAGAAGAACTAATTGTCCTCATAACGAAAATTGACTGTTTGAGATAATAAAGTTTGATTGTTCGTGATAACGAAGTTGATTGTTCGTGATAACGACGTTGAAAGTTCGTGATAACGAAGGGTTGCTTGTTTGTGATGACGAAGTTTGCTTGTTTGTGATAATTAAGGTTGACAGTTGTTTTATGAATGTTTAGCTGTTGGCGGGTATAACCATTAAAGGGAAGACATCAAATCTAGCGTCCATCACGAGATGAACCAGGTTAAACAGTGGACATCGAGAGCTCTCTAGTAATCTTTTACAATGTAGTTAGTAATCTCATGAAATCTCAAAACACAAAACAAAATTTCACCCTTTAACTCATTCACCCCTGAAATTTCTGGAAATATTCCAAAATTTGAATTTGAAGAGTTCAAATGTGTCTTCGGGGTTAATACTCAATACTTGTCAATATAACGAAGGTTTGCTATTCATGATCCTGATGGCTGACAGTTATTGATAGCGACGACTGACTGTTTTTAACCACAAAATCTGACTGTTCGTCATAACGAAGATTGGCAGATTTTTATGATTTCTGTAGACAGAATGGGTCGACATCTGATTATATTGCCGTTCTGCCATTCAAGTTGATCGACGGCCTGTCGAATCCGCGGAACTTGTGCTTCATCATTTGTCATTTTCTCGTTTACAGACATAAGTAAATAAATATTTCACAACACGAGGAAAGTAACCAGTCTTAGGCCTCGTGTTTTCCCTTGTGATGCGGAGTGTTTCTTAATACACCAGCGTCCGTATCAGTGTCTAACTGTATGTCAAGTATTGCTTGTGTGTTAGTTTGATGGTATATGGTCCACTGATAAGGCCACGAAGGCCATATGACAACGTTTTACACTGATGATGGGGCCACACAACAGCTAAGGTCATATGACGACGGTGTCCACTGATGATGGGGCCAAGTAACAGCTAAGGTCATATGACGACGTTTTCCACTGATGATGGGGCCACAAAACAGCTTATGTCATATGACAACGTTTTACACTGATGATGGGGCCACATAACAGCTAAGGCCATATGACGACGTTTTACACTGATGATGGGGCCACACAACAGCTAATGTCATATGACGACGGTGTCCACTGAAGATGGGGCGACACAACAGCTAAGGTCATATGACGACGGTGTCTTCCGATGATGGGGCCAAAACAACAGCTAAGGTCATATGACGACGGCTTCGACAGATAATGGAGCCCCCTTTTTTAGTGCCACCAGACTAAAATATCCCGGCTAGGACACCAAAAGATTGTACACCGTCGGTTACACTATTCTGACGACGGACTCAGTATATTTGAAGGTACCTAAGGAGCAAGACATCAACGAAAAGGAAAGAAAGATCAGAGAAAAAAAGATAGAGAGGTTCATGTATTGTTATAGATGTGTTAGACAAGTCACAGACTCCTCTATTCCAGCTAAGCATAGGCAATATCACATGTTTCTGTTGCCTGTCTCTGTATCCCTCTCACGTTTCCATATAATACACTATACGGAAATTAGGTTTGTTATACGTACGCGTTCATCGACAAATTAGACCGTGCCATCCTCCGAAGGCATTTTACAGCCCCTCTTTACGAGAAACTTTGATTACACCAGACAATGACATTCACGACAGCGCGATACCCAGTTTCCGGTAATCAAGATGGTGGACAGAGCAATAAGACACGGGGGCGTGTCAGAAGGCAAGTATTAGTGTAAGTATGCTGTACAGGATGAATTTTTTTCCTCATTTGAACCTAATTACAATCAGCTCGAGTTTCATCGCCATCCGTCAAGAAGTATTGGCATCGTTGAGCGTCACTTACATGTACCTAGCCTTCACAACGACAGATATAAGCTAGAAACTCAGTTCAGAAAGTTCAATCAATAGACAACTGACATCGCCCATGCGTCAATCTAGTATGTCATTGAACCCATTTGTAATTACCTGTATTCTGGCGACCGGAAGTAAACATATGTGATAACCGGAAATGGGTATCTCTGGCGTAACGGGCGGCTTGTAATCGGTGACACTGAACACTGTAGTGCTGTTCTAAAGGGATTATAAATTATGATTGGAGACTTCATAACGGTAATTGTGTATCTGCACTAACTTTATAATAAGATTTATTTCAAAAACAATAATCTGACTTGGATAGAATAACTAACTGATTGGACTGACTGATCTATCGATCGATCGATACGCTCTACCGAATGAGCTAAGTCAAGTCGGTAGGAAGCGGCTAGTATTTCTCCAGGGTGACACACTCCCCCTCCAGGAAAAAAATCGTCCCGAGTGGGCGCCAATGTAACAGAGGTCATTGTTTATTTGTCCAATGCTAGGAGTCGAACCCCGGACCTCCGGCGTACTAGTCTTACGCTATACCGAATGAGCTAGGAAGAAATTCTCCCTAGCCGAGTCGGTAGGAAGAATATAGTGCACACAAATATAAGGAACACTAGAGGTTTTATTTATTATAAAGTCAAAACTTGAATACGGTAGCTTAACACTGCAGCCTGTTATTCTGACAATGTACTAACATGATGGCATGCAAAAAGACATACCAACGAAAGAAAAACTGAAGATAAGAGAAAGAAATGAAAGACAGACATGCTATAAAAACCTGTACATTTAAAGTAGCAGAACGATGGATATGCTGGAAAGCAGTGACATTTAAGAGAAATGTGTGGACACATTTCTGCAATTTGAAGCAAAGGACGTGCACTGTTTGTACATGTGCAATGTACTCACAAAATGTCCCCAGAAATCCTTCAATGGAATCATCCGCCAAACCCTGCTACATTGTAGGAGGCCAGAGTAATGCCATGTCTTCGTTAAGGTGACGTGAAGGTCGGGCCTTCAATGGACTATAAGGTAATAAGACAGTTCCCAATCGCAACATGCCCAAAGTACATACACTATAACTCGGCTGGGTCGTGTAACTAAATGCTCACGGGATTTGTCTAGAGTCTGGGCGTCCCAGGTCCCGGTATAATCTTGACAATTTTCTTGCTACATACTTATGGCCCCAACGAAATATACCCACATAATTTGAAGGCGATTGCGGTCCGGGGTTAAAGGCTGTTGAAGGAAGGATGTGTCGCTGAACAGAGTCTAATGGTCACGGGTTCAAATACCTGTCTGATTGATGCATTTTTTCAGCTATAGTCACATTTTGGACCCACATTAATACATGTATACCAACGGCCGTTATGTAATACTCAACTTTCGGTAGAAATCAATACAAACATTTTTAGACATGTGCATCATTACATCAAACCCAACGGTAGGTTTTGATAACTATAATTATTTTCCTTATTTTTATTAATGTGTGTACGTTGTTATATGTTTTTATGAAATTGCATTTCATTATTATGCCTGATTTCTTTGTTACATTGATTCTGTTCATTTTGAAATAACTATACAAGGCTGCATGTCATGAAATGTATAATTTATTCAAACGCGGATCTATTTCATAGTTTACACGATTTCTTATCTTTGTAACAACACCCCCCCCCCCTCCCCCCTCTTCATCATCCCCACTCCCATCCCGAAGCTTCCTTCTCCACCCTATCCTTCGCCCTTTCCCAAAAAACTTATATACATTATTTTTACCATATGTATTGAGGAGAGGACTTCATTAAGTTGAAATAACTTGTTGTCCAATCCATTTATATCTTTTTACAATAATATGTGTTTAAACTAAGTAAACATGAAATATTGGACAGGGTCCAAAGGTCAGAGGTTTGAAACGCAGTCTGAGCGATGTATATTTCCACTCTCGCTATAAGCGTACAATGGAGGGTCCTCTGGGATATCTCTGTTTATGTCGCGTGTGTACAAATATACCGACTAATTGAAAAATCTCCATCCCTTATTTGCACACCATTTCAGTATTTGTCCGATTGGAAACAGTCGTAAAAACCTGATTATGTGCCTCGTATGTGATAGGGGGCGAGGGACTTGTGTTATGGGTTGGCGCGTGCTTCTCCTATAGATTATTGGGGTATGGTCCATTATGTCAAACCAATCCACCACGTCCGCTGCGAAATCTCTCGAGATTAACAGCACACGTGACTTGCCCACTTAACGACTGTGAATATAAGCTTGCTGATATTTAAGCATTGAACTGTTTTTGTATGGTATATATGATCTATTTGAATGACACAGCTTTGCAAGCAAACAACATAATGCGCGCTAAATACCATACAAAAACAGTTCAATACTTATATTTACGTTTTCTCTGCCTCTTATGTTCGTTTTTAACTTACAATATACATTTAAAATTTAAAATTACCGCCTTATCGACAGTCAACACAAATTCGTTCAATAGTTGGAACAGCGTGTTGTCGCGTGCTGATTGGCAAACAAAGTTATAAACACTTCAATTTTATTCCACAATTCAGTAACAATAAAATTGCGTATGGTATTTCTATAGGGGGATTTAAGTTTATCAATAGAACTCTAAGCTGAAAGTTAGATTTGAAATTGTTTCGATTTTTCCCCGGAACAAATTTCGCGCATGGATAAATACAGGGAAC